ACCCTTTTGTGTCTGGTTTATTTTACTTAGTGTAATATTTTCAAGGTTCATTCATATTGTAGTATGTGCCAGAATTTTATTTAAGACTGAATAATATTTTTGAAGAAATGTCAAAATTTTCCACAGTGGCTTTTTAATAATTTCTACTTTTTATGGATATTCTCAGTTTATACATTCTTTTTCTTATTTTCTTCAGTCTTTGTCTATGTTTTTCTTTAGCTTTTTGACCATATTTAATGTAATTGTTCTCTTCTCTTTGTATAATTAACCCAAAGTCTGGATATCCTCAGGGATGATATATATAAATATATACATATATTTAACGTTTAATCTTTGATGGGGGTACGGGGGAGGACAGAGAGAGGGAGACAGAATCCAAAGCAGGCTCCAGGCTCTGAGCTGTCAGCACAGAGCCCCATGCGGGGCTCGAACCCACAAATCATGAGAGCATGACCTGAGCTGAAGTTGGACGGTTAACCCACTGAGCCACCCAGGTGTCCCCTAAAGGATGATTTCTTAACACTTTGTTCCTCTAAATAGGTCATACTTTCCTGTTTCTTTGTATTTCATGAGTTATTTTGTTAAAAACCGGACATTTGAGTATGACTTGGTAACTCGGGAAATCAGATCTCCCTCTTTGCCACGACGTATTGTTTCTCGACTGTTGAAGGCTGTACTAGTCCATTTGTGTAGTGACTTTCCCAACCTATGTTTTAAAGGCTGTGTTGTTTGTCTTATATGGTCACTGAAGTCTCTGTTCTTTGTGTTAAACTAGTTTTGGCAGAGATTCCCTTGAACACCAGGAGGTAAAACACAACCCTCCACTCACACCCCTGACCCCCACATATACAAACAAAACAAACAAGCAGACAAGGAAACAAAATAATTCATCCCTTTGTGCAGAATGGTTCTGTGCAAAGGCACTACACTCCAGTACTTTGCTAGGCTTACATTGAGCCTAAGGATTAGCCTGAAGTGAAAGCTTTCTTTCCCATTGTTTTCTGAGCATGAATTTTGCTCTGGGCATGTGCATGACACTCTAAATTTCCTCACGGGGGGGGGGGTTTGAATGCCTAACTTCCTTTTTTTGTTTTAATTTATTTCTAGGAGAGAGAGAGAGAGAGAGAGACAGCGTGAGCAGGGGAGGGTCAGAGAGAGAGGGAGTCACAGACTCTGATACAGGCTCCAGGCTCTGAGCTGGCAGTCAGCACAGAGCCCGACGCCGGGCTCGAACCCACAAACCGCGAGATCATGACCTAAGCGAAAGTCGGACGCTTAACCGACTAAGCCACCCAGGCGCCCCGAATGCCTAACTTCTTAATGAATCTCCTTAACTTTTGTTCCAGGGCCTTTGGCATCTGTTCCATGTTTCCAGCATACTCTTTCCCTAGGAATCTGAGTTGTGAGTTTGGCTTGCCCTTGTCTTGACTAATGCCCACTGTTTTCCTGGTCTGATTCCAATGAGGTGAAACAGAGACAAGCGTCTTGCATTCCTCATTCATACCTCCCCCAGACAGTTCGGAAACCTACATACACAGTCATTTTCCAGTAAGGTTTGCTGTGCTCCCTATAGAGCTCGGAGCCCAAGGACTTAAAATAAGGATGCAGATTTCTTTTTCAAGACTGCTCATGTCCTTGGGGGGGGGGGGGGGGTTGGAGCAAGGGTAAGTAAACACCACAAATCTCTGCTGTCGTTTTCAATTTACCTTTTTCTTGATTCAGTGTTCAGTTAGTTACTGTAAACTTTGACTGTTTTCCAGAGTTGTGACAAAGTTAATGTTGGCATTTTTTGCTTTGTCAGTCTTTCTGTGGGAGGTGTGAATTTGGAGCTGCTTACCCCCTTTTATTGCAGTGGAGATTGATGATGAATCATTTACAAGTATGACTACTACATTTCGGAAATTATGTCTAGATCCATTTGATTGGCTATTCTGCAGGTAAAAAATAATTTTTACTAGAATTTCAGCTTCAAATTAAATCTACCTTTTCTTTTTCTAACTCAAGGTAGATTTTTAATGCTCATGTGCTTTCTTGGCAGTATACTCAAATAACCAAATCACTAAGGAGATGAATGTTTGAAATTCATGTGTTTTTTTTGGTAATCACTGATTTTTTGTAATGTACTTTACTACTAAAGTCCACTGCTTTTAGAAATATTCTGCATCCTTCTTCATACCATACTCAACTAATTTAGGGGTCCCAAATTTTTACGGGAAATGGGTAAGCAAACTACCACCAATGGCATAAATCTAGCCTATCATCTATTTTTGACTTAGCTTAAATGCTAAGAATGGTTTTACAATTTTTTTCCTCCAAGATTTTTAAAAAATTCGTTAGTTAACATATAGGGTAAGATTGGTTTCAGGAGTAGAATTTAGTGATTCATCACTTACATATAACACCCAGTGCTCATCACAAGTGTCCTCCTTAGTGCCTATTGCCCATTTAGCTTATCTCCCCACCTCCCCTCACTGAAAAAAATCAGAAGAATGATATTTTGTGACGTGATAAGTAAATTTTCATTGGATCCCAGACAGCTACATTATTTGTTTATATATTTTCTAATGCTGCTTTTGTGCTATAAAGGCACAATGGATTAGCTTTGATAAAGATCACATACTCTGCAAACCTATGGTGTTTGCTTTCTACCTCTTTACATAAAAAGTTTGCCAAACTCTGTTTTAGGACAACATAAACAGAATAAACAACCTAAGAAATCATTCCAAGGCCTTATGGATTTAAAAGTCATTCTTTAGGATCAACAGCTCAAAGACAGTTACTCCTAGAAATTTCAGCTACCAAAAATTTATCAGGCAATATGCTTTTAAAAAATTTTTAATGTTTATTTACTTTTGAGAGAGAGAGAGAGAGAGAATGTGAAGCAGCCTCCAGGCTCTCAGTTGTCAGCACAGAGACCAAGGTGGGACTCAGAATCACGAACCTTGAGATCATGACCTGAGCTGAAGTTGGAGCTTAGCTGACTAAGACACCCAGGTGCCCCTATCAGGTAATGTTTGTTTTTTTTTTTAATTTAATCTTTGATGCTTTTAGCATCTTTTTCACTAGTTTAGTCAAATATGCCTAAAGTTTTGTTTAACACATGACTTTTGACACAGAACCTTTTCTGAATTAAGGTTTTTCTTGGGACTTAAACTTAACCATAATTTTAACCATTTTTCCATAATTTTGACAGCTTCAACACTAATCCTGAACTTGATACTTCTTCTTCTACTTAAAGTAGAGAAAATTGGAAGTCTCCTTTACCACTAAAATGAGTACATTTCATATCATATGAGTATGATAAAGTCTCCTTTACAACTTCATATGAGTACATTATTCTGTTTTATTTATTTATTTATTTATTTATTTATTTATTTATTGAGAGAGAGAAAGTGTATGAAGAGGGGGAAGGGCAGAAGAAGACGGAGAGAGAATCTTAAGCAGCTGGGGCTCAATCTCAGGGCTGTGTGATCATGACCTGAGCCCAAATCAAGTGTTGGATGCTCAACCCATTGAGCCACTTAGGTGTCCCTGAGTACATTATCCTTATATATTAAATATTTAACTACAGAACTATGTGAATCAGAGTACTTTGAAATCAGAGTGAATTTCGCCTGTGAAAGATATCCTTATCCACTTTTAAAGATGGATAAAAGCTTTCTAAAAAATAATATGTTAAAAGGCAGTTTTTATTAAAAGCATGTGATATTGAACATTAGTGGTTTTGGTGACATCTGTAAGGACACTTTCAACTTAATACTTATCAATATAAACCCATCGGTAGAATTATTCTGAAGATGATTGTGAACAGGACTGCCAGTCATTTCTTATCATTTTTGAAATGTCTGCATCTGTAAGTTACATGATTTTGTGTATCTCTGAGATCAAATCATTTATGAGATTAGTATAAATAGACTAAATTACTAATTTAATAACTTCATTCTCATTAGAACATCAAAATTCTACTATATAATCACATCTTTTTCTCTGGAGCTCCCTGTCATAACCTAACTGTATTAAAGGAAATCCAGTTTTATAAGATGAAATTTTCTCAGATGTTTCTAATATAGTCTGGCTACTGTCAAGAAAATTTTAGATAAAAGAGAAGATGTCACATTCTCTAAACATTCATGAATCAGCATTAGGTTAGATAGTGATGATGATTGACACTCTTTGCTGTTTTGAATCTTTTAAACAAGATCCTTACCTTCTAGTGGCAAATATGCTACAAAGTAGCAAGTTAACTGATTTTGAAAAAATTCTTTTATCACTGCAGTAACTATTCCTCTTGTTAAATTGTCATTATTTTTTTTTTGTTCTTACAAATAGAGCTTTTTATTTATATTCATGAAAAATATTAATATAAAGGATTTAATGACGTTGCTGACCAATAATTTACCTATTGATGGTATTTTACCCACAAAATACCTTTGTCTTTTCTGAAAAGTTTTTTAAAGTTATAGAAGTTATTTTATGCATATTATGTATTTTACTAGTAATTAAATTATCAGTAATTAATTCATTACTTCTAGATGGTGCTTTATCCATAGTTGGATATTTTTGCTTGGGAGGTATTTTATAAACTGATGAAACTTTATCTGAAGGTGGGAAAAACTGATTTCTTATATCTGGTATAATTTTATTTGAGCATACAAATACACTTTTAATAGTGAAGCAATCAGTTTCATAGCTGTGTTATAGAATTCACTTGAATGTTATCTCAATATACTAATTATTCCCCTAAAAATTTAACAGGAAACATCCAAGATCATTTCCTAGTGGTTGCTTAGCACTGATTGGTTACCAGGTACACTTTTGGCCATATTTATGGCACACAGGTAACTTACACATGTAATACTAACATTCTGCCTCTTCTCATGCAAAATGCTTATCAAAAGTATTCATCATACCTTTCTCTTATTCGAATTTATATTGCACTTTCTTTGATCTTAAAATTCTTCTCAGTATTATAAAAACCATCTTATTGGACAATATGTTACGCTTTAACAATCACTTTATTTTCTAAGGGAAGTAAGCATAGTTCTATCAGGTATAAAAGCTTCAGTGCTCGTCCCGCTGAGGTGGTGAGGAAGATTTGGAAATATTGGTGTTATTTCGAGAAAACACCTTTGACAGAGCTGAAGATACCTTTGCCAGCATTTTAGATCCTTGTATGGAAACACTGGGCTTGGAAGTTTCTGTGGACAAAGCAAAAAAGTAATATAGATATTTATTGGACATTCTAATTGAGACAGTTATACTATAGAATCGATGATTTAGAATTAAGAAACTGATGTTTGTAAAATACTTTATGGGATTTAAAAACATTTAGAAACATTCTTTTTTAAAGTTTATTTATTTTGAGAGAGAGAGAGAGAGAGAGAGTAGGGAGGAGCAGAGACAGAGGCAGAGAGAGAGAATCCTAAGCAGGTTTTGTCTCCATTTTTGAACACTGAATCTTGGCAAGGTCAAATACCTTGCCTAAGGTCATATGAGTAGAAAATGGCCCCTCTGGGAATAGGGGCCCAGCTTTGTGACTCGCATGGACCTACCACATATTGATGCTTCTCCAGTTAGTTATGCAAAGAATGTCTTTCTTTTTCTAGCAGAACACTCTTGGAAAAAGCCTGATCAGCTAAACTTAAAGTAACTTTCAACTCTACACAATGAGGGTATCTATTTCAGAATGCTCAAGTGAAAGCACAAGTGCATTAAAATTTTTACAATTTCTCACCTACTTCAGGTGAATTTTCAATTAGCTAATTTCAAGTGATTTCTTTTATCATGTGAGCTAAGACTGTATAGATAATAAAAGAATTTTCATTTTGATACATTTTGTACACCACTTATTCAGTGCATGGGCTCTTAAAGAATATCATGGTTTAGTTATCACAAAATTATAATTTTACTTATAAACATGTAAAAAGAGAAGTGAACAGTTATGTACATGTTTGAAACTTTATGGTAGGACATGAAAACACACAAGACCAAATTTTCTTTTTTTAAATTAAAACAAATTTTAATGTTTATTAATTTTTGAGGAAGAGAGAGAGAGACAGAGTGTGAGTGGGGGAGGGACAGAGACAGTGGAAGACACAGAATCCAAAGCAAGCTCCAGGTTCTGAGCTGTCAGCACAGAAGCCAATGCAGGGCTCAAATTCAGGAACCATGAGATCATGACCAGAGCCAAAGTCAGATGCTTAAACAACTGAGACCTCCAGGTGCCCCCAAATTTTCATAATTCCATTGTGTGCCAAAGTTCATGACCACACATCTTGTAGGTACCTAGATTTGTCTTTTCTAGCAAGATAGCTTCTATAGTTAAAGATAGCCAACAGTAAATTTAACTATAAATATAGAGCAAAACAGTATATTCAGGTTTTTTACTATTCTATTATTTTTTTAAATGACCTATCAATGTAAAAGGAAAAAAACAAAAGTTGCAGCAGATAAGAAACAAAAGCATAGATGAAAGAGAAAGATGTCCTTTCTGAAAAAGTAAGATAAAATTTTTACTGACATGACTGAGGCATTGTTGCAAGACTTCCGAAATTGTCACTGGAGGGGCAAAAGAATTCCTGTTCTTGAAACTTTGTGGTCCTATTGAAAATTCAGATTCCTGGGCACCATTACTCAGAGATGCTATCTTAGGCAGGCTAGAGGTCTAGGAACCTACATTGTTAAAAAGGTACCCTAGGTGGTTGTAATGCAAATCAGTTCCTGGAAACACACTTAGGATACTGCCTCAAATCTTCATGCTTTATTTGATGCTCGTATATTGTTCAAGACTATTGGGTGCCTGGTATTCTAGGTTAATAAAATACATGAGAGAGGAGTCATGAATTCTGAGTTTATCTTGTTAATAGTTCTTTCTGTAGCAAAACTACAGACTAGCTTTAGTTATTACCCAATATGGGGCTTATTCTGGGATACAATGGCAAGACTATGGAACCATGTTACCAAGGGAGGAAAGAGTGGAGGATCAAAGTAAGAAAATCTGTTTTTGAGCCCTTAAAGCTCTCTATTTGTGTAGATCTTGTGTAACCTCAGGCAGCTATTCCCTCCATTTTCTCTTTTTTAAACCAGGACTTTATGATTTAGAGAGGCAGAATAGTATGATGTAGGGGATATAGACGAGTTTTGTTTGGTCCACAAAACATTTCACAAAAACTTTGAATTATTTGACAAACTTTAAAAGTCAGGAATTTTCACATAAAATTTTCACCTCTAACTTCTTTTGAAAGATGCAAAGACATCAGTGGGAAGGCCTGGCAATAAGCCAGTGTATCAGGGATTGCTGAGTAGCAGCTCCCTCCTTTAGATGGGATGTGCCATCTCCAGTGCACCACAGACCCTTGCTCAGCCTACTGTGCTTGTTTATAACATTACCTGTATGGCTCCTGTGGCCATTTGAGTGTATGAATTCTGGTTATATTGAATGAGCTTGGGATTTGAAGTTGGGCAGATCTGTGTATGAATCCCAGCTCTGCAGCTTATTAGCTATGGGGTGACCTTGAATAACCTACTCTCACTTTCCTCTTCAGTTGCTGTCACTTTCCTGTTTAATAAAATGAGGATATTTAATACCTAATAAATATTAGTTCCATTACTTATTACTGTGGTGGTTTGAGGTTAAAATAACACACAATGAACTGCAAATTGTTATACACACATACATACACATAGTAAGAATATTATAGTCTCATATAATAGGTATCAATACTTCAAGGAGGGAGCTACTCATTCCAGAACGAATGCTGAATAGTATATTTTGTACCTGAAATGACTTCTTTTGAGGAGTATACACTTCCAGTAATATTCTTGTGTCCTTCAAAGATGGTGATAAACTGCCAAGACAAAGCAAAGTACTTATTTTTTTTTTTTTATTTTTTTATTTTTTTTTTTTAAAAGCAAAGTACTTATTTAATCTTTTATTGGATACTACACACGAAGATACCTAGAATTCCCCAAAAGATGTAGTACAACCTTTGTAGCACCTTACATAAATCATATCTGTGCTCTGCATTCTCAAAGAATTATCCAGAGACAGGCTCATAATTTTTGCCAATTATGGCACCTAGGGTTGACCCTTGTCATAGATGTGGGCCTTCGAAACCATTCAGTGATGATCAAAGGCTCAGCCATCTTAAGTCACAAAAAAAAAAGCCAGCTCTGTCTGTCCCCTCCCTCTTTTGGGTGAATTGAAATAAATAACAAATTATAAATTCTTTTCTGATATGAGAGATAATGTTAAGGGGTAAAATGGCTGTTCACTGTATAACTCCAAGTTCCTCTTATGGAAATCTTAGGTCTTTTGGAGTCTGGAGCAATAAACTGGCTATCTGGACCTAGTTGGGCACGGAACATGGCTCAGATACTAGCTATACTCTGTAGGCCTATATCACCTCTTTGAACAGAGAAGCAGCAATTTTCTCAGAAAGGCATAAAGTAGACTGGGATAGGTAACTGGGATTCATTGTATATATATTTTATAAAACCAGCTATTAAATAAGGAAATCAATGATGAGAAACTTAATAAAAGGACTAAACTCATGAAGAAACATAAACTATGTTATGTATAGATTATGTAAAAAAAAAAAAAAAAAAAAAAAACACCAAGTGTTAAAGGAGTTTCATCATAGTTGCTCCAAGAGGACTTGAGGTAGCTTATCTCTTAATATATTTCAAAGCAAATACATACCTGAGGAATAAAATGGAACCAAGACTATCTAAAGCACTAATTCTCAGTATTGGCTGCACAATAGTTATATGTGGAAATTTAAAAAAATAATGTTTTATTTATTTTTGAGAGAGAGAGAGAAAGTACAAGTGGGGGAGGGGCAAAGAGAGAGGGAGACACAGGATCTGTGTCTGTCAGAACAGAACCCGACACAAGGTTCAAACTTGTGAACTGCAAGATCATAACCTGAGCTGAAGTTGGACGTTAACCAACTGAGCCACCCAGGCACCCCTGAGGAATTTTTTTATTAAGTATGAATCCCTGGGTCTCACATCTCCAATTGAACTGAAATCTCTGTGGATGGGGCTGATACTGATATTTCTAAAAAAAAAAAAAAAAAAAAAAAATTGCGCACATGTATGAGACTGACTTGAGAACCCCTAATCTAAAAGCTGTAGGGGATATGCTACCAAGTATCTGAGATGAGTAAACATACTTAAGTTCTTTTAGGAACATCTATCTTTTCATTAGATTTAAGAGTATTTCCCATTTCTTCATGGAACACTGTTATAAGCACTGTTTGAAAATTCCAAAATCTCGGTTGCATCAGACTTGGCATCTCTTGTCCTCTCCCTCAAAAGTTGTAGACATTGTCTTATTTCTTTGTATGTTAAATAATTTTGGATTCTATCTTGGACATTTTAAACAACTTATGAGTTTCCATGAACTGTTAGAGTACTCTGGAGATGGTTGAGTTTTTTATTTGTTTCCTCAAGTAGGTAATTAACCCATTTAGATTTAGGTAATTAACCCACTTCTATAAGTTTCCAATGTAAATTTAGTTTCCAAAGCCTTGCCAGTATTTTTCTTTTTTAGCATCCCTGTGTGTGCACCACTAATAAAGCCATAGTTCAAGTTCTCAAAGCCTTTTGTTTATATAAATTCAGGCCCGTCCCATACATGCACAATATAGGAGAGACTTTACATACAGGTTTGTAAGGGATCTTTCTGATGATTCTCTGTGATTTTTTTTTTTTTCCAGTGTCCCTAACTCTCAGTAGCCCCCTTCCTGGTTTCATGGCTAGAATACTGTGGCTACTCATTCTGTGTGCTGTTTCACACATCCCATGATTGCATTAATATCTAGAGTAAGTGACAAAAGAAAGCAGGGAAAAAAGTAGCAGATTTCCTTCTAATCTTCTTCAGGTTACTGGAGACCTTGTCCTAATTCTTCTGGTTGGGGGAGGGTTTTTCTCTCAGAGTTTTAAGTGACTCAGAAGCCTATACTGCCATTGCCATGGGGCTTCATGTCTGAAACTTGCCTTTAGGCAGAACCAAAAGATGGGAAAAGCGGGAAAAAGTGAGTTTCTTCTACTTCCCAGTCCACAGGAACTTCTTAATTCTGGTGAGAGACCAATGGTTTCTCCTGAGGATTTATTCTACCCTTCTTTCTATGCAGTTCCAGGATTTGAATTGCTCTGGGTCTAATTTAGGAGATAAGGGGGGGGGAGGGGGACAAAACCAGGAAACTCATAATGAAATTGGTGATTCTTTGAATTTCTATTTGTCTCCTCAAACTCCTGCTATTATTTATTTTCCAGCATCCTCAGTAGTATCCAGAAGCTTTAGTTGTAATCAGAGACAGAAGTGGGATAGAATGTGCTTACTCAACCTTACTTTGAATTGGATTGGGTATAACAACTTCAACCATAGTTTTACCATGGAAAAAGCAGCAAGAGATGGGAAGGGTAAAAAACTGAACAAGGTTCCAGATTAGCCAGGGATTCAGCCTGACACAAGGGATAGTCTGTAATGATCACCAGTCTACAGTTTCTGTCTCCCTTTATTTCTGTTTTATTTGAATTGGAAAATAATGGCCTAAGTGAAGCCCGAGATTGTCAGATAGATGTTCATATTCATAAATGAGAATTAGGTTGAATAAGAAACTATCCCTGCATCTTCAAGCTTTGGCATTAGTATGATGAAAATGACTCTGATGATGAGAAGGGACTGGAGAATTGATGGATTACATGTGCATAGTGTTGGGGGAAACTCAGAAGTGAGGTTAAATTGAGCCAAGAAACAAAGTGATAAAAGCAGAAGAGGATTTGTAGCTTCAGCCCTTGTTGGAAACTTTTTTTTTTTTAAGAATTTTTTTTTAAATGTTTTATTTATTTCTAAGAGAGAGAGAGAGAGAGAGACAGTGTGAGCAGAGGAGGGTCAGAGAGAGAGGGAGTCACAGACTGAAACAGGCTCCAGGCTCTGAGCTAGCAGTCAGCACAGAGCCCGACGCGGGGCTCAAACCCAAGAACCGCGAGATCATGACCTAAGCGAAAGTCGGACGCTTAACCGACTAAGCCACCCAGGCGCCCCTGTTGGAAACTTTTAAAAAGAAATAAGGAAGAGGAAAAATTTTCCTGAGCTCATAATGGAGCGTAGCTGAGCCTCTCAGAAAGCTGCCTTTAAACAGTCCGTACTTAGGAATATAGAAAAATTAGATGGAATCAGCACTCTTTTCCTGCAAGCCAGTCTCTATTTCTGAAAGCTTCTATTCCCTCCTTGCCTCCACCAAGTTCCTCACTTGGGTCTACCTGCCCTAGGCAGGGCCAAGTGACTTCTTGCAGGGGTTTTCTCCAGAGTCTGTAGTAACAGAGTTGAGTGGAGCTCTATTTAGGTGCTAGGGAGGAACAGTGGGTTACTCTGTGCACTTACGCAAGGAATAACTTAACTGTAATGTGAGAATTTTGATTAAGGATATTCTCCAGTTCCGTGGATAGTTCTTAGCCAGAGGGAAAGATCTGAGCAGGAAAAAATTCTGAATAGGGGCATGCTTCCTGATATTCCTCAATCTGTACCACCCCAGGCCCTGATTTGACCTTGGAAACTGGGCTATATTCCCCCTCTCGCTGCCCCTCCCATGCTCATGCTCTGTCTCTCTCTGTTTCTCAATAATAAATAAAAATGTTTTGGAAAAAACTGGGCTATATATTCAGTTGGACCCTGTATATTGCTAATTAGAATTTATTGAAAAATATTTACCTTCATACTGTTTGAATTTTCTAGCTTTTGCTCCTGAGAATTTCCTGTGGGAGGGGGAGAAAGAAAAGGAAAAATTATCTTTTTTTTTTCTTTTTTTTTTGGCATGAATAGTATTTTTTTTTTTCACCAGAAAGTTCTAGAATTTAGTCAGGTAGAAGAAATCATTATTACTTTCACCATATTGACATTAGGAACAAAACTGAAATGGGTAAGATCCCTAGAGTTCTTGAGCATGTCCTAGACTTTCCTTTAGGAATTATGAGATAAACTATGATTTGGTAGCAGAGGCTGACTCTGTTACTTAGTAGCCACATGTGTATCCATAACTACTCAATCTCTATAGGCCTATTTATTTACATGAAAATAAGAGATTACCTTATAGATGGCTCCTAGGGGCCTTCCAGCTCTAACACTCTTTGATTCTACATAGCTAATTAAAAGCAGATTATTGGAACAAAGTGGAAGGTGCTGGTCTTATGACATACTTTGAGTGAGAACCAGGAGAAATTTGAGGCAATACCAAGAGGAAATCTGGAGGAGTTGCTACAGAATCAAAAGTTACCTAAGTTCCAGGGGAAGGCAGTACTATAAAACGGCTACAGGCAGGCTACTGTAAAACAAATTTAACCCAAGGAGTTAGAAATTATGAAAAAAGTTTCAGGGTGCCTGAGTGGCTCATTTGGTTAAGGGTCTGACTTCATGATTTCACAGTTTGTGAGTTTGAGCCCTGTGTCAGGCTCTGAGCTGACAGTTCAGAGCCTGGAGCCTGCTTTGGATTCTGTGCCTCCCCTTACTCTGCTCCCCCCTCCCCTCCCCAGCTTGTGCTCTGTCTCTCTCAAAAATAAACATTAAAGAGAGAGAGAGAGAGAGAAAGAAATTATTAGAAAAGTTTTACAAAAACCCACCACTAGGGAGGCAGAAAATCTGTGTTTGAGTTTTAGCTTCACTTCTTAGAGTGAAGAACATTGGCAAATTGAATCTAACTTATTTGACTATTTCCTCATTATGTAGAAAGTGAATGAGATTCTTCTCTGCCTGTCTCACAACAGGACTCAGTGACATAGCTTATATATAAGAACTGTGCATTTTATAGACATGTAATCACCAAGGTCCAACACAAGTGGTTATTCTCTGAATTATCCTTTGGACAAATGAAGGTGTAGAGGGGGAAAAGTAGTAGTAAAACTTCAAGTAACTAAAATTTGACAGGGATTCATTATTGCACTTATCTGACAATATTGGTAAAATTTTATTGTTGCTTGATCATCTTTCTAAAGTACCTGGCTCTATATTACACATAATTGAGCTGACGTTTGCTTTGAAATGAGTGAGGGTATTGGGTTTACTTCTAGGTCTACCATTCCAAATATAGGTTTTAAGTTTCTAGGCTAAAGGGCTGTCAACTTCCCAGGATATACTAGAAGTTTGTTTTGATGAAAAGTCATAGAAAAATTGCTGGTAATTGAGGATCTCAGATATTCAGAGTTAATTTATTTTATTGTATACCTATATGAAACAAAGAATATAAATTTTCAGCTCTGTACGCTCCATTATTTTTTTCCTTAAATAGGTTATTGTCAAGTTGGTTTACATATAACACCCAGTGCCCATCCCAAGAAGTGCCCTTGAACTCTCCATTAAAGTCCATCTTAAAAATCCTGTTTCTTATGTGACACTTTAACTTCAATATCTAAAGAGTCAATCAATCTCAGCATAACCAAAACTGAATTCTTGTGCCTCTCATTAGTTATTCCCATTGTCTGCCTTATATTACCAAATGGTTCTCCTACTATACGCCTATTTTAGGCTCTTGGGAATACAACTGTGGGAGCTTACATTCTAGAAGGAGGTCGTGAAAAAACAATTAACAGTCTGTCAGATAGTTATAGGTGCCAGTGAAAAAGCTCAGCAAAGAAGTTGAATAGTTAGTGCCGTGGTGAGAATGAGGGTACAATTTCAGACTATAGTCAAAGAAGACCTCACTGAGAAGGTAAAACTTGAGCAAAGACCTGAAGGTGAGGGATAAGCAAGGAAGATGTAGGAGGAAGAGCAGTACACAAGGATCAGCAAGAGCAAAGATCTGAATGCCTGGAAAGTTTAAGGGCGATGAGGCTGGAGCAGAGAGCTGGAAAGAGAAGCAGAGGAAGAAGTTAGAGAAGTAAAAGGGGGTGGAGTGATGTCCAGATGATGTAGGGTTTTGCAAGCCATTGTAATGTCTTCGGCTTTTGTCTCAGATGAGATGGGAAATACTTATAAATATCTGGAATTATCTTGTTTATGTCCTTACCTTTTGATGCCCACCCCAAGTATAAATTCTGAGATTAAGGACTTTGTCAGTTTTGTTCACACATAGGATCCTAGAGCACACAGGAGATGCTCAGTAAATATTTGAATGAATCAATAAATAAAAGGTTGAATTGGGCAGCTGAAATATTGCGAAAGGATATAAGAATTAAGCATGATCATTGCAAAATTAATTGGGGAAAAAACCCTTAATGCATTTATGGTGAGGAGATTTAGGATCCAGAATTGGCTCTTCCTTTAACTCAAAATAACCTTGGCAAAATTGCTTCCTCAACCTGAGCTTGAGATTCCTCATGTGAACATAAAGAAGAGTGGGGGGTTGTATCGAATGGTTTCTGTCTGACACTAGACACCTATGATTCCATAATACAAGTGTGATTAGTGATTACTATGACATCGTCAGATTATGGTGTGTTCACGGAATTCTGGCATAGTTATTGCTATTCTATGAATTATCCTAATGAAAATAATTTCACTTCGAAGATGAGAAAATGTGTTTTAAAATAACTACTTGAGTGGGTTTTGTGTTTGAGATAGCCAGGGTAAACCTGTGGTTTGAGGGTTGTTTTCTTTTTTCAAGTTTATTTATTTTGACATAGAAAGGGAGAACACAAGCACAGGAAGGGCAGAGAGAGAGAGAGAGAGAGACAGAGAGAGAGAGAGAGAGAGAGAGAGAGGGAATCCCAAGCAGGTTCCTCCCTATCAGTGTGGAGCCTGACATACAGCTTGATCTCAAGAACTGTGGGATCATGAACTAAGTTAAAACTAAGTGTCAGATGCTTAACCAACTGAGCCATTGAGGCACCCCACTGTGGTTTGAATTTTAAGGCCACTTTATAGTAAACATGACACTCTATCTCTTGTACATATGATCACTCTTACAACCACATTGATCCTCTGAGGTTTCACCAAAAATTTCTCACAAATAGTCTAAGGAGTAGGTATCACTCCTTAGAGTAAAATAAAAATAGATATTTTTTCTTCAAAGTGAAGTCCATACTAGTCAGATATTAATGTGAGCAAATATATTTAGCTCTAAAAGCCCCTTCCCCCTTTTTGTACATTATGGTAGCACGAAGTACAAAGAAAGGGTAAGAAATCGTTAAATGCTAGTATAATGGGTATTGGCTCAAGTGAAAACTACTGTATGATGCATCTTTATTTTATGAATATTTTTCAAAGGAGCATGGTAACTGTGAATTCATAATACCACACCATTTTCTTGATCAAAATCATTAAAGTCTTAACAGCAATTCAGAAAAGTCAAATAGTTGGCTCATTTTAACATCTGAGTGATGTAGTAATGGATTATTTTTCTTCAAAATAGGTAAATTTACAGGGAAAAATATCAATCTCAGGTTTGGTAACTAAAAAATTCATCAAAGCAGTAAACAAGGCAGTAAACAAACAATAAGCAATAACTAAAAAGCTTATCAAAGCAGTAAAGCAGTCTTCTTTTGAATGCATTCTAATTTAAGACAAATAATAAATCCAACCTTCTATTCTTTTGGCACTTGTATCTGAGGAAAAATCTTCAGTCTCACTAAAACAAAAGAAAAATAACATTTAATTTTCTGTGTATTTAATGAATGAAGAAATTACTGGTTAAGCAAAAGAACAATCTGTCAGTTATTCTTCATATGGAAGTAAATCTAGAGTAATTCATCATTGAATTTGCAAATCAAACGAAAATGATTTCTAAATTAACTTTGTTTCCACTTTAAAAATTTTGGTTGAATACACATAACAAAATTTTCCATCATAACCCATTTTTAAGTGTACATTTCTGTGCTTAAGTACATTCACATTGTTGTGCAACCATCACCATCATCTATTCTACAGAACATTTACATCTTCCTCAAAACTGACACTCTTTTACCCATTAAATATTTAACACTGCATTATCCTCTCTCTCTCTATTCCCAGGAACTATGTAACTACCGATTTTACCTTCTGCCTCTATAATTTGACTACCTGAGGTATCTCATATAAATGGAATCATGTAATATTAGTCCTTTTATGACCAGCTTATGTCACTTAGCATAATGCTTTCAAGGTTCTTATGTGTAGCATGTGTCAGAATTTCAATTTTGAGGCTTACTTACATTCTATTGAGTGCATATGCCACATTTTGCCTAACCATTCATCAGTGACTCCTGTGTTGCTTCCATGATTTCGCTATTTTTATGCTGCTTATGAATACGAGTGTACCAATATCTGAGTCACTGTTTTCAATTGTTTGGGGTATGTATCCTGACAATAGCTGTCCAAATAGTGTGAAATAGCACCTTACTGTGGTTTTTTTATTTGCATTTCCCTAATGATTAGTGATGTTGAGCATCTTTTCATGAACTTATTGCCCATTTGTATATTTTCTTTGAAGAAATATCTATTCAAATCCTTTGCCCAATTTTTAATCAGGTTATTTGATTTCTTTAATTGTTATTTAGTTATAGGAGTTCTCTATGTATTCTGGCTAGTAACCCCTAATCAGATATACAATTTGCAAGTATTTTCTCCCGTTCTATGAATTGACTTTTCATTCTGTCCTTTGAAGCACAGAAGATTTTAATTTTGGTGAAGTCCAGTATATCTAATTTTTGTTGTTGTTTTTGCTTATGCTTTTAGTGTCACACACAAGAAATTATTGCCAAATCGAATGTCATGAAGATTTTCCACCATGTTTTCTCATGAGAGGCCTATCGCTTTACTTAGGTCTTTTATTCATTTTGAGTTAATTTTTATATATGGTATAAGGGAAGGGTCTAACTTCATTTGTGTGTGTGTGGTTAGTTTTCTCAACACTGTTTTTCAGAATGTTCTATTCCCATTAAATGCCCTTGGCTTGCTTATCAAAAATCATTTGGCCATAAATGAAAGAGTTGTTTCTGTGCTTTTTATTTTATTGCTTTCTATGTCTGTCTTTATGTCAATACCATACTGTTTTTATTACCATGTCTTTGCAGTAAGTTTTGAAATCAGTATGTCCAACTTTTTTCTGCCTTTTCAAGATTGTTTTGGTTATTAGGAGTCCCTATAAAAATTTTAGAAAGAATTTTTTATATGTAAATATTTGAATTTTTTCTGTTTCTGCAAAAAATGACATCAAACACAATTCTTATAAAGTGCTAATCTGTAGAATACTTTGTGTAATATTGACATCTTAACACTAGTAAACCTTCCAATCCATGAATTTTAAATTATTTTTTAAAAGTTGAGTATAACTGACACAAAATATTACATTAGTTTCAGTGGTACAGCTGATAAGTTTACACATTATGCTATGTTTACTGCTATTGTAGCTCTTATCCTTATACAATGCTATTAAAATATCTTCAATTGTATTTCTTATCATGTACCTTTTATTCTTGTGATTTATTTATGAAAGTCTGTATATGTCAGTACAGAACTGGACACAGGGCACGAACCCACGAACTTTGAGATCATGACCTGAACCAAAGTCGGACACTTAATCAACTGAGCCACTCAAGTGCCCCTGAATACGTTCATCCTAAAAATTTTGTTTCTTCTTTGTATGAACTCTTTAGGGTTTTTACATAGAAGATAATGTTATCTGTGAACAAAGATCATTGCAAGTCTTATCTTCTAATATAGATGTCTTTTATTTCTTTTTAAGTGCTCTGAGTAGGACTTCCAGTATTTTGAACAGAAGTGGCGAGACTGGGCAACTTTGTTTCTGATCTTAGAGGAAAATCCTTCATGCTTTCACCCCAAGTACAATATTAGTTGTAGGTTTTCCACATACGGCTTATTTCTTTGAAGTGGTTTTCTTCTATTCCTAGTTCATTGAGTGTTATCATGAAAAAGCACTGAGTTTTGTTAAATGTTTTTTTCTGCATTAATTTATCTGAGAATGTCTCTGTGTGTGTGTTCTTCATCTTGTTAATATGTTGTATTACGTTGACTGATTTTTAATTGTTGAACCTCCCTTGTTTCTGGGGTAAATCCCACTTGAGTCCTGGTGTAAAATGTTTTAATGTGCTATTGAATTCTGTTGCCAGAATTCTGCTAAAGATGTTTGCATCCATATTCATCAGGACTATTAATCTGTAGTTTTCTTGTAGTGCCTTTTTCTAGTTTTTGGTATCAAAGTAATGCTAGCCTCATGAGTTTGGAGACATTCCCTTCTATCTAATTTTTTTTTGTAAGAGTTAAGGAGAATTTTTGTTAATTCTCCTTGAAATGTTTGCTAGAATTCACCAGTGAAACCATCTGGTCCTGAGATTTTCTTTATTAGGTTTGTGATTACTGATTCAATCTCCTTACTAGTCTGTTCATATTTTCTATTTTTTTCATGATTCAGTTTCAGTGGTCATGTGTTTCTGTGAATTTATCCATTTCATCTCAGTCATCCAATTTTTTGGTGTATAATTGTTCATGATACTCACTTATCCTTTTTATTTCTGTAAAATCAATTGTGACGGCCCTTTTTTCATTTATAGTTTTAGTTTTTTGAGTCTTCTTTTTTTTCACAGGCAGTCTTGCAATAGTTTTGTCAATTTTGTTGGTGTTTTTGAGGAACTAACTCTAGGTTTCACTGATTTTCTCTATTCTTTTTAGATTTTGTATTTTGCTTATACTTGCTTTGTATTATTTTCTTCCTTATCCTAGTTTTGAGTTTAGCTTGTTTTTATTCTTTTAGTTATTTAAGATATGAAGGTAAGTTATTGTTATAAGATCTTTATTAGTGAACTTACAGCTATAAATTTCTCTCAGAAATACTTCACTCTATCCCGTAAGTTTTAGTATATTGTTTTCATTTTCATTTGTCTCAAGTATTTTCTAATTTCCTGGGTGATTTCTTCTCTGACCCATTGGTTGCTTAAGAATGTATTGGTTAATGGGGTGCCTGGGTGGCTTAGTCGGTTGGGCGTCCGACTTTCGCTTAGGTCGTGATCTCGCGGTTCGTGGGTTCGAACCCCGCGTCGGGCTCTGTGCTGACTGCCAGCTCAGAGCCTGGAGCCTGTTTCAGTCTGTGACTCCCTCTCTCTCTGACCCTCCCCTGCTCACGCTGTCTCTCTCTCTCTCTCCTAGAAATAAATAAAACATTTAAAAAAAAAAAAAAAGAATGTATTGGTTAATATTTACATATTTGTGAATTTTCCAGTTCTCCCGCTGCTATTAAATTCTAAATTCATTCCATTGTGATTGAAAGGATACTGTGCATAATTTTAATATTTTATAATTTATGAACACTTGTTTTGTGATCTGTATGTGACATCCTGATCACCCAGCCTACGTTCTATGCTGGATAATGCTCCATGTACACTTGAGAAAAATACATATTCTGCTGTTGTTGGATGGAGTGTCCTGTATAGGTCTGTTAGTTCTAACTGAGCTATAGTGTTGTTGAAGTCCTCTATATATTCCATCTGGTTGCTCTGTCCACTATTGAAAACAGTCTGTTGAAGTCCTCTATTACTGTTGTAGAGGTAGAGCTGTCTGTTTCTCTCTTTAAATTTGTCAATGTTTGCTTCATTTATTTTGGAGCTCTCAAGTTTGTTTCATATATGTTTATATTTGTTAAGTCTTCTTAGTGAATGAACCCTTTTATCATTATAATAATGTTGTCTCTTGTTTTTCACTTAAAGTCTATTTTGTCTGATATTAGTATAGCTAACGGTTTCTCTTTGTTTGAGGTATCTTTTCCTGTCCTTTCACTTTCAACCTGTGTGCATCCTTATTTTTAAAGTGAGTCTCTTCTAAACAATATGTACAGATCTTCTTTGACTTATGAAGGGGTTAGTCCTGACAAGCCCATTATAAGTTGAAAATATCATAAGTAAAAAATACATTTAATGTACCTAAACTACTGAACATCATAATTAGTTTAGTCCACCATAAACATCCTCAAAACACATTAGTATACAGCTGGGCAAAATCATCTAACACAAAGCATATTTTATAATAGAGTGTTAAATATTTCTTGTAATTTATTGAATACTTAACTGAAAGTGAAAAACAGAATGATTATATGTGTAGAGAATAGCTGTTCATATATTGGTTGTTTACCCTCATGACTGTGGTAACAGAGCTGTGGCTCACTGCTTCTGCCACGTATCACAAGAGAGTAGTGTAGAGTGCATTGCTAGCCTGACTTCAAAATTCAAAGTACAAATTTTTATGGAATGGATATCACTTTTGCACTATCATAAAATCAAAAAATCATAACTTGCACCCTAAGTTGGAGACTATCTGTAGTTGGATCCACTTTTGAAGTTCCTTCTATTAATCTGTGTTTTTTAATTAGAGTGTTTAGTCCATATATGCTAAATTACTGATAGGGAAGGACTACTTTTGCCTTTGGTTAGTTATTTTCTGTGTGTCTTACAGCTCTTTTATCCCTCATTTCCTTCACTGTTGATATTTTGCAAATACACAGTTGCTTCCCTTTGCATTTTATTTCAGGACTATTCTATAGATATCTTCTTTGTTGTTAGCACAGGAATTACTTATAGAATCCTAAAACGATGACAAATTGAAACCAATTTAACTTCAATTACATATAAACTCTACTCCTTC